GTTAAGTCTCTTACATACTTTTACACATTTCACATCTCTAATTGGTGAAGTGGTTGATAATTGAATTGACTCTTATATATATATATATATACTACTCAAATTTATAATTTATTATTATTATTTTTATTATTATTTAAGAAAGTACGGTTTGTTAGCTATGCTATCTTTTATTTGATGAAGTAAGAATATGGCAAGTTCTTGATATAATTATCAAGGAACTCCACGAATTCTACTGCTGCACAGCTTAGTTCTTGATATAATAATTATTGTTATTATTAAAAAAGAGAGAGAATGTTATAACATAATTCAGACTATATGAATTGCACTTTACGTTTTTTGTTAAAAAATTAACTAAGAATAGGATTTTTAATTAGATATAAAGTGTGTGTCATGTTACTACACAGTGAGCTAGCCAAGTATTAACCACTCTAATTGTCGTGACTCTCGGAAAATCTGTAATCAATTCAAAATTTTTGACTACACAATATGTTAATTATAGTTTCATGTCTCAAAAAGGAGAGAAACCAAACAAAAACCCTTTTATTGACATAAGGATGTGATTTTGACATTTTTCATGTCTTCAATTTGGTTACTCCTTCTTCAAATTCCAAATGCCACTCAAAGAAAGCAAGAAAGAAAATGCCACCCCTTGCACAATCAACAAAGATGGTGCGCCGACTCAATTCCTTAATTTCTCTACCAAAATCTTATAATACTATATTGTTGGCTTTAACTTTATTTCTTAAAATTTTCAGCCATACGTCGAGGGATTAGTCAAAAAGAATTGAGGTTACCAAACATTTTGAACAAAAGAAAAGGAGAATGAAGAAAATGATCAAGTTGGAGGGAAGAGGACATTTTTTTTTTTTTAAATTTTTTCAGGTTCACTACACCTAATGTTACCCTTTTGCCTCAAGAGTTGTTAGAGGGAAGAGAGACAATAAAGTTTCAAAAGTAAACTCCATGTGTCACCTTAGAAGTTTAATTTAGATTTTAAGTCTTAGAGTTAGTATGTAAATTAATTAGAAAATAATTAGTATAGTTTTTAACTCAACACACTAATCATCACT